GGCATGTACAAGAGGCCACCGATCGATGTTCTCACTCACATTGATGTTTCTCTTCCTATCTTTCTCCCTCCTTTCCCCTCTCTCTAAAAATTAAAATTAATTTAAAAGTAATTAAGTCAAGTCATTGAAAAGTCTCAACATTCATATTGTTGCTATCATTTAACTTCAGACAAGACTTAGTAATCTTGCTGACAGTTCCATTTCAAGGGGCAAAATAATTTACAGAAGGAATTAAAATATCTGAGACAGGAAGGAGGAGGATGATAAAGTTTGGGAATTTGGATGGCATATAAAAGATGTGTATCACAAAAGAAGAGTTGTCTAAGACAAGTGGCCCTGGAAGATGGCAAAGAAAAGCACTGTTTGCTTGAAGAATGGTTTTTGTGACTTCCATTATTACTTTGTTGCCAATATTCATAAAGCAGCAATTTTTTAAGCTGCTTACAGGTAGCTAATCACTCTTGAAGGGAGTTTAGGGAGTGGTCATGGAGTTTGAGGTAGAAAAACATTGTTTCTTACAAAGTACAATAGATCGCCTGCAGTCAATCTTTATTATAAACAGATGAATGCTCTGATTACTTATGTCTCTGTAGGAGGTAGCAGAAAACTAATGCTCAAAGAGTTTCACTAGATTAAGGAATATATGTTTGGTGACCTTGCAACATAAAAAGATAGGTTTGCAACATGTGAACTGTGCTATTTCCTCAAAGTTATTAATGTTTATATTGTATATAAACATGAAGTGATTGTCAAAACCAAGAGGCCAAATGTTTAATATTTTAAAATCTCCCTTGATAATTACCTGTATTTACTTAAAAGAATTCAAAAAGTCTGTGGTATATTTTTAGTGTGGCTGTTTTTATTTATATTTCAGACTCCTGCATTTTCCCATTAGTATTACTTGTGTGTCTAAAAGTTTTCCCCATCTTCAAACATTTATTTCCTGTCAATTTGAGTTCCTGGGGATACAGACAAAGAGGAAGTTATAAACCTGTAAAAGATAATGGGGTGGGGACACGACTGGACTGTAGAGCTGGGGTCTGTGCTGCAAATGGGACAGGACCTTCAAGAACCCAAAAAGATGCTCCATAGATAAGACTGCCTTTCAGAGGTGTCTTCCAGAGAGCAGAAAGGTCCAGAATCAAGTACATGCCCTGCTCAGGGGTTGGCCTAATTGAAGGCACTCAGCTGAAGGGCCAGTTTTTCTTCAAAGGGACATCTAAGCCGCATAGCTCCATGGCTTCCACATGTTCATGAATATTCAAAATTCCCTGTTTACGTGATAATATTGTGGAACCTGGAAAAGTATGTTCTAGTAGCAAAAAGTCCTGTAATCTCCAAAGTTAAATGATTATTCGAATATCTTGGGTAACTAACTTATAAATAGAAATTAAAACTTAATCCAGACTGTTGACACTGGCATAGATCAGTGTACAATAATTAAACATTTGTTATTTACCTTATCTATCAGAGTGGGTAGTAAGAAAATATGATCGGTGAAATACGATATATGTGATAATATGTACCTTTTATTGGGGACCATGAGCTAGATATGCTGTTGGTATATTATACATTTGATCTCTGATATTTCCAGAACTCTGAATGAGAAGTGTGTGTCTTAAATACAAATTAGAAAAGGAAGGCTTGTATTTAGTGACTTGCCCATGATCTCACAGCTAATCAATGGAAGAGCTGTTGCCCCCTACTTCTGATTTCAAAGCTGTTGAATATTTTGTTAAACCACAGTCTAAGAAAGAAAATATTCTTTATGACAATTTTCTCAATCCCTGAAGTGTTCTCAATAAGTATATCAATGTTGATCTAAAATAATCCCAACAAACAAAAGTTAGTAATCTAAGTGCAGCTTTCTTTTATAAGAAGAGTATCCAGGCATTAAAGAATTTATGTTCTCAGCTTTTCTGTGAGAAGCCACATAGTAAATACCTTCGGCTCTGCAAGTCATATGGTCTCTATTATCACTATTAAACCTTGTCATTGTAGCTTAAAAACAGACTGGACAATATGTAAATAAATAGGTGTGACTGTGTTCTCATAAAATTTTATTTTCAAGGACAGGCAGCAGCTGTTGGCCCTAGATTACTGATCACTGTAATCAAAGATACGAAATGTGAATATGTAAGAGTTTTGTGGACTCTGAGGAAACAACAATACAATTGATTTTTTTAAATTAATAAATTATCAAGGGTATCTGATGACTTAGGACAGTAAACAAGGCATGAGCTGAATGCAGTGGATTAATTAATTAACAAACACTTCCAATAATAAATGTGCAGTCATATTTGATAACGGGAAAGGAAGCAGGAAATCATCAGCAATTCTGAAAGCAGATAGATTGTAGAGAGTCAATTTGGAATAGTAAGTTGAGTTCTGAATTAAAATACCTGGACTGAAGTACAAATCTATTAGCAATTGTTGTATGGTTTTATGCCTGTCACTTCTTTTTTTTAAATTAATTAATTTATTTTTCCAAATACATTTGTCTCTGCCTTCCCCCTACCACTTCCCCCTGCCCCCTCCCCGCACTCCCTCCTTCAATCCTTCCCCACTTTGGTTTTGTCCATGAGACCTTTCTGTATGTTCCTTGACTTGCCCCTTCCCTTCCTTTTCCCCCTGCTCACCTCTTGTCTCTGTTGGTTTCTGTTCCTTTCTTAAACCTGTGAAATAACTGTCTTAGGCTGGATTCCTAACCATTATTCTGATCCAGAACATCTGAACAACATAATGCATTTTATCAGTGACATTGGCTCAGTTCAAAGGTGTTAGGAAAACGGATATGATTTAGCCTCCAGGCCAGGCCCTGCTCTCTTCATAAACATTTTAAAAAGTCACTAGACCCCTTTCCTTGTAGGATTAAGCATGTATTTTAACATTTCTTCATAGAATTCTTTGCTTAGTGTCTGGCGCCTCTGTTATGAAAGAGTAGGAACCTCAAGTATTTCCATCATTTTGTCCACAGTTCCCTCAGTGACTGGCTGTAATAGGCTCTTCATGAACAGATATGCAATGAATAGTTTGGGGAATGGATGGATAGGTGGATGGATGAGTGGGCAGACAGCATTGTTGTTGTTTTTACCAAGTTTCTCTGTCTTTAATCAGACTTGTTGGTATTTTCTTCTACTTTCTGCAAAGGAGTGTCAGTAGGACCAGTTTTTTCCACTTGCTCCTGACTACGTCACCCTCCTATGAAATTCAATAAATGTCTTTCTTCTGCCAAAGAGGCAGTATTTTCCTGGAGAACCAAACTGTTTGATAGTAAGGTAGTGAAAAATGCGCCTGTCCTATGTTAAAAAAGAAAATAGTTGAATATGAATCTCACATACTGGCAATCTAAAAAATAGAAATAAAGTCACTTCAGCTTTGTCATGTGAAAATCTTACCTCATCAAGATACAGAAGGAACTGTATAATTGTATTTCCTTAACAATTACTATAAAATTAAGTGTATAACTCATAATCAACGTTGAATTGTTTTTGTTGAATTCTCTGCCACGAATACTCAGCAGTCAACCTGTTTTCTCAATTTTTTTTTAGTACAATTAACTGCTGGGATATCATCATGCAGCCTGACAGCAAATGTTTGCTGAGTTTTCTGTGTTGCCTTGTTTTTTAAAGAGAATGTAGTGCATTTTTGAAAAATCCCCCAGGGATTGCTCTTTAAAAGAAAAAAAAAGCAAATTGAGATTTTCTACAGTGAAAGTCTAATTGTTTCTCCCTGTTACTGATGGAAAACTCCAACAGTATAGAGAAGTATTTCATTTTTAAAACACATTTTGAAAAAAAACAGTTTTTATACAATAATAATTTCCTAGAAGAACTATAACCTTTTCTTTTATCACATACTCTTTTCTCCTTCTCAAGACACCTGGGCAGCATGTAAACAAAGCTTCTGTGAACATTTCTCATGTTACGTGGACCAGGGAACACTTGTGCATTGTTGGTGGGAATGCAGGCTGGTACAGGCACTGTGGAAAACAGTACGGGGGTTCTTCAAAAAACTTAAAGTGGAACTGCCTTATGACCCAGTGATTCCACTTCTGGGTACTTATGCAAAGAATATAAAAACACTAATTTGAGAAGACACGTGTACTTCCATGTTCATTGCAGCATTATTTGCAAGAGCCAATACATGGAAGCAACCTAGGTGTCCAATGATTGATGAATGGATAAAAAAAAGTATGGAATACTAATCAGCCATAAATAGGAATGAAATCTTGCCATTCACGGCATCATCAGTGGACCTAGAAGGGTATTAAGCTAAGTTGAATAAGTCAGACAAAGAAAAACAAATATTGTACTATATCAGCTATGTGTGCAATCTAAAAAACAAAACAAACAAAACTAATAGGTACAGAACACAAGCTTGTATTTGCCAGAGTAGAGAAGAGTTGGAGGGGCTGGCAAAATTGGTGAAGAAAGCCAAGGAGTACAAACTTCCAGTTACAAAACAAAGAAGTACTGGGGATGTCATGTACACACAGTAACTATAGGTAATGATGCTGTGTTGTGTATTTAGAAGGTGCTAAGACAGCATATCTTAAAAGTTCTCATTACAAGAAAAAAAAGTTGTAGTGTGACAGATGTTAACTAGACCTATTACAGTGGCCATTTCCCAGTATATACAAATATTGAATCATTACATTTTACATTAAGACTGAACTTGACCAAAAGCAGGACCTCCGGTTCCCAGAGAAAACATCCTTGATACTTGATCCTTGATTCAGAACTGTTTTAATGTAGTAAGGTGAAGATGTATCTTTTTTCCTTAAATTAATTCTGATTGGGTTCTTAAATAGTTATTCACTATATCTATGTTAGAAAATAACATGGATGTTTCAAAAATAGCATCCTTATTCCAGATGTGACTGCTGTAAAGTTCTCATGTAGATTTCATAGAAAATCATTTTAAATGCATTGTTAATCAAGATATTCTAATTTCTGACATTGATTAGTGTATTCTGCATTTGCACTTATTTCATGCAGGTAACAAATATTGGGTGTTTAAGGACACGACTCTTCAACCGGGTTACCCACATGACTTGATTACACTTGGAAGTGGAATTCCCCCTCATGGTATTGATTCAGCCATTTGGTGGGAGGACGTTGGGAAAACCTATTTCTTCAAGGGGAACAGGTCAGTACACACTTCACCTGAGGAAAGCAGTTCAGTAATGTTTAGGGTAGCTGATATTTCTAGTCTATCACAGGCATGTACTGTTGATGAAAGCATTGGTTGTGTGGATATCAACACCAGAATTATTGAAATCTGAAATTGAAAATGTTTTTAACATATTTTAAAGTAACATTCAACATAAATCTTCCTCTACTATACCCTAATAATGTGACTTTCTTATGAAACTAAATATGTAGTTTATATTCATTCTTCTCTGTAACCTTAACATGCCTTAAAGCTGTGGAGGTAGTATATAGTTACTCTTGCAATGCATTTTCTTAAAATTTTACTTATTTAAAAAGTTCTTTTTAACAAAAGCTTATTTTTGTGCTTTTATATTAAAAGTTAAATTTTTACACTACCGCACAGTTCAGTGTGAACATTTTAAAGTAGTTTCAGTTTAGTCATGAATTCTATTTCTTAGGACACCATTTATTTAAGTACCAGCAATAGGTGTAAACAACAAGCTTTAATGTCCTGCATGCTACTTTCAAGTCACCCTTAAAATCTTAGCATATTTTAATGGTGTCAAATGTTTCCAACTTTAGAAAAGGATATAAACCTTGTTTACTTTGCAATTTGCAATTTTGACTGCAAATGATTTCAAGCATTGAGCTTTCCCTTTGAACTGAAAGATCCTATAATTTGCCTCCATGGATTAGAATGCATACTTTTAAATTTATTCTCTTACTAGCTCTGTATACATTAGATCTGTATATATTTCCACAGCAAAATACTCATAGGTTTTGCTCAACATTTCTTACTAAATCATAAAAGAAAAAAATTCATCAAACAAAAATTTTATTCACCTAGAAGATATTACTTATGACCACACAACATAAAATGGCCCTGAGAAAGACACAGGTGTAGTAGAGCAGGAAAGGAGAGTGGAGAAATCAATTCACAGCATGATGCCCACTAAGGAAAGGAAGCCTGCAGTCCTACAGAGTCATCTCTAAAATAGCAGCCCTCAACTGGTTTTATTGCTTAGGAATAGGTTCAGTATTAGTGGTTGGAGACTTTTGTTTTGGGTTTTTTCTTCTTTCCTTCCTTCCCACCCACCCAAAAGGGTGGAAACCCAAGGCTGGGAAGATGCCCAGGAGAAGTGAACTCACACAGAACAGAACACAAAAGCTTAGCTTTATAGTTTCCATGAGGATTTCATAGATGATCTTAAACCCACCATATCATTACCAAACACCCTTTTTTCCACACCTGTAGATGTTATTTTTTTTTAATGTTTCCATTCTAAAAGTTTAATACTTAATGAAAAATTTAAGTTTAGAAACTAAATATGGGCTACCTCATATCAGTGAAATCAATGAAAATTAGATACCAAATTTATAGTTGAATAAAGACTATAGTAAATGAGAAAAGGAGTTTAATTCATTTATTTCATACCTGAGATGCTGCATGCAAATACAATAAAATGTACAGAAGTATTACTTTAATCTTAAGTTCTGTTTAAATAACTTCTCTATAGGTTTTAAAATATTTAAAGCAGGATTCCAATTAATTTCTGTATGTGATCTTCTATAAGATTTTGAGTTATGGATGCTTTATAAACAGATTACTTCATATTTATCAAATTGTATGTTTCCAAAGTCAAAACATTTTTATATTTATAAATAATTCATACTGGATTAAAAATCAATGGAAAAGACATGAGCTCTCTAACTCTAACACAGAAACAACAATTGGTCACCACTTTTGTATAAAGAATAGGAGAGTCTTTCTTCCCTACCTTGTATATTTATAATACTAATTTTAACATTTTATATATTTTCAATGTATATTTTTGAGAAAAAGCATAATGTAAATTTATTTGTCTTTATTTATTTCTACCTCTTTTCCCAATGGCAGCTTTCTGCTTAGAAAATGGCGGAAAGTTGGGTCAGAGGCACAGGTTTGAGATACTTGACACATAAATCATATTGCAGGCAGAAATCTAACTATAGAGAGACAGGAAATGAAATGATGGTTCTTTAAACAGCTCTGCAAATTCTGATGGAAGTTTCTAGCTTCTCTGTTTCACAGCCAGCATGGACCACATCCTCAGGTTCCTCCTTGCCCTTTTGTTCCTATCAAATTATAGATACTTGAGTGCACTTGGACCTGCATAGCATTTAGCTCTAAAATGCTGTTTTTCTAAATTTCTCAGCATCTTCTTACAACTGTGTCCAAGACTTTATGGCCATATTTCACTTTAAAGTTAACCTTTGAGAAATGTAATATGTTTTCACAGAAAGAAGTCAAAATATAGATCAATTTGGTTTGTCTATTATTTTTCTGATTTTCACTAGTAATCAAACATTTCTTTCAGCTTAAGTTGTGTGTTTATGAAGTTATTATTCAATATGTGCTTTTTAAATTAATTATCATACTATAAATGGATAATTTCAATCCTGTTGAATTTTTAAGAATGTTCCTGAAGAGTGAGATTTTGTATGATTATTTAGGTAGGAAAAACAGAATGGGCCTGTGTTTGTGGTAACATAACAGAAGCAAATAGCCTAGACTCTAAGTAAAGAAATGAGACAGAAAAGGAAGAAAGGAAGAAGCCTTGCTGAGTCCCGTGAAATAACCCTTGGGGCCACTTTTGTTCAGTTGGAGCTTAGTATCCAGCAACACCCCATAAAAGCAGTTCATTCCAGAATTGTCTATACCATATTTTTCTTCTTACAGAAGGAACTTTAGAAAATATTTGGTGTTATTACATGAACAATTTTTGTTTCTTATGGGTGTGACTCATGATTAAGTCTAAAAAAATAATAAATAAGTCTCATTTTTAAACATATTCAATTTTGAAGCACTGATGCCCAATGCTTCTTTCAAAGAATCAGCAATTTAAAGTCATAATTCTAAAGGTAATGTATCAGAAGAAAAACTATAAGGTTCATTAGAATAGCCTTTATCATTTGCCAACAATCCTGCACAAAATTTTAAGATCTATTCCATTGCAGTACCTACATTTTAAACCCATGAAATGGTTTATTTACACAGTATTCCATCTAACATGTTAATATACTTCTCAATGAGCCCATAAGCTTGTTTTTCAGACAGAAAAAAACATATCAGTGGAATGAGCTCTTTGTTCACATTGAAATATGTTCAAATATGTTGAAAGTTAAAATGAAAACCTGCATTTCTAAATAAGCATTAGCACCTTTAGAAGGCAGCTCTGGACATAGTGAGAGGATTCTCATCACAATCAAATATACTGAATATATATCAAAGCTGGCACACAGCAGATAACCTGAAGATCTGAGCCTACACTGAGTTTTTCACAGATTGTGAAATGGTCCCAAGTTAGAATATTGCCTTATCTTCTAGCAGAGAGAGGGAGAAATGTGTTTATTCTGACAAATTCATACTAGACTTATGTTCCTACAAGAGTGTATAATAAAATTCACATTCCATTTATATTTCCTTGAAATGTGATCTTCATGAATCTTATTTAGGTTCTCAGAGAAGTATTGGAGGGTAAAGCGGATGGATGCCTGATAGGACCAGGGATGAAGAGAATCATATTCACATGTGAAGATTAGGAATTTGAGCAGCAAGAGAATAAGAATGGCAGATGGATAAATACAGTTTGCTCATCAAGGGAAAATGAGCAGTAATGTAGTAGAAAACCATACTTAACCATGAATCAGAGAGTGTTTGTTTGTTTCAACTCTGCAACATTCAAAAGGAGGAACTATAACCAAGTCATTACATCTGAATAGTGTGACACCCGATGCTCTGTCAGTGAAGGCACTGAATGATGGTGTCCTTGTAGGGTGCATCATAACGTGCAATCCAACAGATTGTAGAATGATCATATAGAAATAAGATAAAATAATGTATTATATAAATTTACTTTACAGCTATAAAACACTGCAAAATGTATGAGTGTTATGAGAACATTGTTATTATTGCTCCCTTGGAGAACAAACCTGGTTCCTAAGTACTCAGTGATCTTTCTGAAACCACATATAGGTGTGATCCTATTGTTCCTAGGATTTTAAATTATTCCAGACTTTTATGTTAGCTAAATAAAAAGACTGCTGTTGTTTATGTCATCTGAAAATACCATTTATTTTAAAGATAAATCATTATTTAATCTATCATGGATAGAAACTGCCTGCCTAGTAAACTTTGACACAGTGAAACATCCCAATTTTTAGAGGCATAACTGTGGAAGAAAAAAAGTGTTTATTAGTGTCCATGAGGTAAGTTATTTGACAGTTTCTTTGTGAGAGGTTTTCTTTATAGTCAAGTGCAAGAACCAATTGGTTAACCTGTATGAGTAGTATAAACCCCATTGAAATAATTCCTTGAGAGAAGAGATCTAGAAATTTTGAATGGAATCTCAGCCCTATTAACCATTCAGTGTTTATCACAGAATGTTCTGTGAGAGAGGAATATTCAGAGTAATTTAGAAGCAGATATTTCCATCAACACAGTATGAATGCAAACATATTTTGGTGCTGGAAGTATGCTGCTCTGCCAACTTCTCTTCAGAAAGATGGGCCCAGTCACTAGTGTCAGCTCAGTGTCTCCCCAGAAGCTCTCTGATGTGTGATCTGTTCTCCCTTTTCATGCGATAACAATCTGTGACACACACCTGTCACTCTGTATTTCCTTCAGAACAAAGTCAGCCTGTGGTTGACGTATTGGAACCCTTCCTAAAATGGCCTTTTCTCCTTTTTACGTGAGCACTAAAGATGAAGGAAATGCTAATATCCCTAATGTTACTTGTAGGAGGGTTGTAGGAATCTGTAGAAAACTCCTCTTCATAAGGTCCCACAGCTGTGTAGATGAAGGATCCTCTACCAACTCAGAATAGAAAAATACCCAGAAAAGACCTGAAAAACATTTTTTCATGGTTTCAACCAAAATGCTTAATCCAAAGTTTATGTATAATATTCCTGAAACTTGTTGGTCAAACTTGTTAGCTTTAGCAGGTGGTTACAGATGTTTAAAAATGGTTGTCAAATAAATTTGGAAAACATTTGTTTTATGTAGAGGAAAGAGTAGAGACTTTAAAATCAGACACAACTGGTTATAAATTTACCTGTCATTCATTGTCTTCCAAGTACTCTCTTCTCCCATATAGGGACAGTGGTTTCCATCTCAGGGGTGTTGTGATTAAATCAGATAATGCCTAACCCCTTCTGCCTGCCCTAAGAAAGGCTATTAAACTGTCAATCCTTAGAACATTCCAGACAACAGTTTGTTTGACTCTGAGAACATATGACCAATTAGTAATCCGGAGTCACGGTGTTCACAGTTTGTCCTTTGGATGTCCTGTGAGGAACTAGGCATCTGAGAGTCCTGACTTTCACTGAGGTCCATCCACTGAGGTCTCCAGTCAAGACATGCCCACAGTCCACACTCAGACACCTGGTCGCCTCATGCACAACTACACTCTGATGTTTACAGGCACCTAAACTCAGCATACCTAGGACCAGACTTGTGACCCCTAAATACTCCCAGACAGCCCTTGTCCTGACTGCACTGAATGGCTGGGTTCTTTTTCTAGACAGCCAGACCCCAATTCCTGACTTATACTTACCATCTCTCACATTTGATCCACCATTAGCCCTGGGGCTTCTTCAAAATGACATCTCCATCCCTTACATTATCAAGAGCTCCACAGTGTACACACTAACCGGTATCTTTTTTTCTGTGTTACCTCCTTCCATCTATTTAATTCACAGCAGCAGCACAATCCTTTCAAAAAACAAAGCCACAGCCTGACACTCCTCTGCTCAGTGCACAGTGGCTTCACATCTCCTGGGAGGACTTCAGTCTTGCTGTAGTGCGAGAGTCTGTCTGATCGCAGATGCAGTTTGCACATTGACCTCGGCTCTCCTCTGCTACCTCAATTCTGGTCACAAAGGTATCACTGTGAATGCTTGGCACTCAAGCTTGTCACTGCCACAGGAACTTTCCATGACTCCTGACTCCACCTAGAGGGGTCCTCCCCAAAAACCACATCTGCTGCTGCCCACTTGCTCTCTGCTTAGACATCAGCTTATCGCAGACCACTCTCTGTTCTCTTAATCTGTATTGCTGAATAATTTAATCTGCTTTGTTTTCTTAGATATTTCCACCTGCTAGCATAGTATGTATTTTTTGATAAGATGGGTTTTTGTATATAACCCCTAACATACCGTAAAATGTAAACTGAAGAGAGCTGGGGCATGTCTGTTTAGTTCAAGGTTGTATCTCTAGCACCTACATAATGCCAGGCACATAGCAGGTACTCAAATATGTGTTGAATGACTAAATGAATCAAGAGTCTGCTTACGGTTATTTGAAAAAGATGTCCTGCTGCCTAAGTGAGATTGTTAGAAAATAGAAACCTCTGACTTATACATACTTTGATGCTACTCTTTCAGACTGTAAATATACTTAGCATTTTTTAAATTAATTTTAACAGATTAAATGAATACACAATAACATACTGAGTTTTCACATATGCAGGAAAAGAAACAGAATAAGTGCTTTGGTTCCACTGTCTTTCCAGTGATTTGAATCAGTTCTGAAAATCATTACCAGGTGACATGCAGCAAGGTGGATGGATATTAGCTACTGCTGTCAGTATACATCATTTCCTTCCCTATGCATGTGTTGTTTTTGTCATCTTTATCCTTTTTAGATATTGGAGATACAGTGAAGAAATGAAAACCATGGACCCTGGCTATCCCAAACCCATTACAGTCTGGAAAGGTATCCCTGACTCTCCCCAGGGAGCATTCGTGCACAGGGAGAATGGTACGCAGCATGTGAATTATACATTTTGTGAATTACTATATATTTCCATATTGCACTCTAGCTTTTCACTGTGTTAAGTCATTAGAAAGTGCCATACTAGGGCTACATTGTTCTATGTAAACTAACTCAATTTACATTTAATATTCTGCTCCAGATTTTTTTAGCCTCAATTTATTTAGAAAAAACATGAAGGTAATTTTTTTTTTAATGGAGAAAATGGACACCTTTGGAGTAATGTCACCTGTTCTTCTTTAAAATTTGTGTGAAGCTAATAACATATCATGGGACAGAAGTGGTCACAGGGAAATAAGTTGTAATTGCAGCTGAAGCACAGAAGCACCTGGAAGCAGGGCATGTTGAGGATGTAATTTTTCACATATGTCTTTGGCTGAAATTGTCAGCAGACAAGGAAGATACCAGCTCAGAACAGTCAGTCATAATCGCTTAATAACAAGAAACAGTACAGAGTAGCCCAAGACCCCTGTGCTCACTCTCAGGATTTGAGATTCAGCCAGATCCTAAGTGGGTGTTAGCCAAGCAATGGATAGTCCACATTCCCTGATGTTGGCATATGTGAAGGCTGAGCACTTCTCTCCTCATGCAGGGATTACTAAATAGGACTAAAACATGATAATAATTCAAAATAAAATCTAAACACAATATCCCAGAGCAAAGGAAGGGAAAGAGATATCACTCTGAAATATACAGAAAAGAAAACACCCTGTCAAATGACTTATAATAGGAATCAGAAGAAACTTATACCTATGTGGGTCCTCAGTGGCATGAAAAGTCTGTAACATACATACAAGAGCAAAATATACATTACTTGCAAGAACAAAATTATCTTCCCATCTCAAGGTAAATTTCAGGAGAGAGAGAGTTTCCTTATATTCAGAAATTAATGTTTTCTTTTCACATGACAAAAAGAATAACTTTGTAAAATACTAACAGGGACACAAAGCATGTTGGGAAAATCAGTGCTTAAAAATGATAAAAAAAAAAAACTACAGATGAAATTTCAGCACATTTGTGTCTTCTGGACCTTACCTGGTCCACCACCTCTTTGATGTCTTTCAACCTGAGTTCACTTTTTATCTTTCAGGAAATCCTCCTTGAATATCCTCTTTAGGGACCTGATCCCTCTCACTCAAAATCTTAGATTACAACCATCAACTTACATGCCCATTATAAACCCTTGAAAGGCAGTCACACAGTAAATATTACTTGTTGAAATTAATTTTATCCTTGCCATTACAGTAAAATTTCACTCCCTGAAGTGGGGATCCCCTAATGGTCTGAAACCCTTGTTCTGTAAGCAGCAATGTCAACGAATCTCAAAGATCTCAGTTTTAGCTACCCACAGCAAGCTCTCTGTTTGTTTGAGTGTGTTGTAGTTGTTATTTTGTTGGGGCTGTTTTGTTTTTTTTTTGGTCTCTACTCAAATCTCAAGCTGTGTCTTCTTACTTTAAACTCAGACCTCTCAGTTTCTATTAGGTTTTTATGAAACAGAGCAAGGTCAAATTATTAAGTAAACACATCTGTATTTATATTTATACTCAAAATAATTCCCTGTAAGGTTAAGTCCATGCAAGTGATATTCGTTAACCATAAAATCAGATATGGTACAGTTCCAAAATTGTTCATGTATCCACCATTCCACCAATGTAGGAGTTTCTTCCTTGGAATTGTCTCCAAAAGATAATTTTCAAAAAAAATTCTTTAAATTCAGATATAGATATTTGAAAGTGAAATATGCCTTCCTGAAAGACATACTGATATTAATTCTGACACTTTGACCAATGAAATATGGCCAAGACATGCCATTTATTGAGTAGCTACTGTATATTAGTAGTGCTATATGAATTATATAATTTAATTGTCCAAACCAGATATCTCTTTACCTCATTTATTGTAATCTATAAATGAGGAAAACAATATCAGCAAGTTTTAAGTAACTTTTATATAATAATACAAGTGGTAAGACTACATCTCTAAGATTGGAATCTAGAACATTCCAGACTCATGGAATATGCTGAAATCCACAGTCTCCAAGTAAGAGGCAAAGCTAAAACAAATTTTTCTATATTATATCAATAAAACAACTGGTGGTCCATTGTGTTGAACTGAGTGTTTTATTCCGTCACATTAGACAAGCCCAGACTTCCTACGTTGTAGCTTCTTGAGCTCTAAGTCTCCTGATTTTCACCTTTTATCATCTTTTTTTCTTTTATCTTTACTGATATATTTAATTTTTAAAATTCATTTTACACTATAATGTTCCATTTTTTTGTTCTTTCTTTTTCTTCTTTTTTTTGTCTCTGCCTATCACCCACCACGTTCCCTTGCCCCTTCCCTTCTTCCCTCCCTCAGCTCTTCCTCTTTCCTTTTGTACATGAGTCCTTGCTATATGTTCCTTGACTTTCCCCTTCCCTTCCTTTTCCCCGAACCCCCTCCATCCTTCCCACTTGTCTCTGTTGATTTCTATTCCTTTCAGTGTTGCTGGTCTTACTTTCCTTCCATCTTTGTATTGTTGGTTAGGTTCAACTTATAGGTGAGATCATATGGTATTTGTCTTTTGCCCCCTGGATTATTTCGCTTAGCATAATGCTCTCCAGTTCGATCCATGCTGTCGTGAAGTTTAGTAGTTCTTTTTTTCTTTCTGCTGCGTAGTATTCCATTGTGTATATGTACCATACCTTTTGATCTAATCATCTACTGATGGGCATTTAGGTTGCTTCCAACACTTGGCTCTTGTAAATTGTGCTGCTATGAATATTGGGGTACATAGGTTCTTTTGTATTGGCATTTTGGTATTCTTAGGGTATAGTCCCAACAAGGGAATCCCTGGATCAAAAGGCAGTTCCATTTTCAGCTTTTTGAGGAAATTCCACACTGCTTTCCACAGTGGCTGCACCAGTCTGCATTCCCACCAACAGTGGACTAGGGTTCCCTTTTCTCCACAGCCTCGCCAGCACCTGTTGTTTGTTGATCTATTTATAAAGGCCATTCTGACCGGTGTGAGGTGGTACCTCATGGTGGTTTTGATCTGCATTTCTCTGATGGCTAGTGATGCTGAGCATCCTGTCAAATGCCTCTGGGCCCTCTGTATCTCCTCCTTGGAAAAGCGTCTGCCCAGGTCCTTTGCCCATTTTTTGATAGGACCATTTGTCTTCTTGGACTGGAGTCGAGTGAATTCTTTAAATATCTTGGAGATCAAACCTCTATCTGATGTATCATTAGCGAATATATTTTCCCATACAGTTGGCTTCCATTTCATTTTGCTGATGTATCCTTTAGCTGTGGAGAAGCTTCTTATTTTGATGAGGTCCCACTTGTTTATTCTTTTCTTTATGTCCCTTGCTTTAGGATAATATCAGTGAAAAAATTGCTGCTTGGAATATCTGAGAGTGTCCTGCTAATGTACTCCTCTACGACTTTTATGGTGTTGCAGCTTTTATTTAAGTCCATCTTGAGTTTATTTTTGTGTATGGTGACAGCTGATGATCCAATTTCAATTTTTTGCATGTAGCCGTCCAGCTCTCCCAACACCATTTGTTGAAGAGGCTATTATTGCTCCATTTTATGTTCTGCCCCCGTTGTCAAATATTAGATGCCGAGATAGACCTGGGCTTACTTCTGGGCTTTCTATTCTGTTTCACTGGTCTATGGGTCTGTTCTTGTGCCAGTACCAGATTGTTTTGAGTATAGTGTCTTTGTAGTAGAGTTTGATGTCTGGTATTGTGATCCCTCCAACCTTGTTTTTCTTTGTCAAAATTGCTGAGGCTATTTGGGGTCATTTATGGTTCCATATACATTTTTGAAATGTCTGTTCTATTTCTGTGAAAAATGTCATTGGTATCTTAATAGGGATTGCGTTGAATCTATAAACTTCTTTGGGTAGTATGGACATTTTGATGATATTAATTCTTCCAATCCATGAGCATGGTATATGCTTCCATTTATTTGTGTCTTCCTTAATTTCTTTTTTCAATGTTGTATAGTTTTCTGCATATAGGTCTTTTATGTCTTTGGTTAAATTTATTCCTAGGTACTTTATTTTTCTTCTTGCTATATTGAATGGTATTTTTTTTCTGATTTCTTCTTCTTCTATTGCATTGCTGGTGACAAAAATACTTTTGATTTCTGAATGTTGACTTTGTATCCTGCTGTTTTGCCAAATTCACTTATTAGGTTGAGGAGTTTTTTGGTAGAGTCTACAGGGTTCTCTATGTACACTCTCATGTCATCTGCAAACAATGATAGCTTTACTTCCTCCTTTCCTATTTGGATACCTTTTATCTCTTTCTCTTGCTGACTGCTGTGGCTAGGACTTACAATACGATGTTGAAAAGAAGCGGTGAGAGCGGATATCCTTGTCGTGTTCCCGATCTTAGTGGGAACGCTTTCAGTTTTTGCCTGTTCGGTATGATATTGGCTGTAGGTTTTTCATATATGGTTTATTACATTGAGGAATGCCCCATTTATTCCCATTTCGCTGAGTGTTTTGATCATAAATGGGCACTGTACCTTATCGAATGCTTTTTCTGCATCTATCGAGATGATCATGTGGTTTTTGTCTTTTCTTTTATTTATATGATGTATCATGTTTACTGATTTGCGTATTTTGAACCATCCCTGCATGCCTGGGATGAATCCCACTTGATCATGGTGGATAATCTTTTGAATGTATTGCTGGATGTGGTTTGCCAATATTTTGAGGATTTTAGCATCTATGTTTGTCATAGTTTTTCTTTCTTTCTAGGGTCTTTATCTGGTTTTGAGATCAGGGTGATGCTGGCCTCATAGAAAAAGTCTGGGAGTCTTCCCTCCTCTTGGATTTTTTGGAATAGTCTGAGAAAGACAGGGCTTAGCTCTTCCTTAAATGTTTTGTAAAATTCTCCTCTGAAACTGTCCGGCCCTGGGCTTTTGTGTGCTGGGAGTTTCTTGATTACTGCTTCAATTTCCCCAGGTGTTATCGGTCTGTTCAAGCATTCTGTTTC